CTCAATATTCATTATTCTAAACTATAGTGTGTTGTAATTATGATATACAAAATATGTATTTTCTATGTATTTTAGAAATTATTAATTATATATATTTTTTTAAGAACTTCATATGTCTTCAATATTCAAAGAAGAAACGTGTTTTCAGAAAATTAAATCAATGAAAACAAAGAACATGCAATTCAAAGAAAATGAAATGACGGTTACAGTAAATTAATATATTGTAGTATAGTAGTCATAGATTGAGTTCACAGAAATGCGATAATAATTACAATACACAAAGAGTGTACAATTATAAACAATAATTTCTTCAGAGATATTAATTTTACGTTACGTTTCTAAGTGTCGCGCGGTTACTTTTCACCTCTTGGTAGATAAATCTTGAGTTTTGAATTTCCCGCAATAAAAATTTGTTATAGTTCATTTTATTCAAAGTATAATAAGTGTCTCACTTTAAAATTACATATATACTTTATTTCTAAATGATATTGCGATCCTAAATAACAATAATTTCGATACAAAAGCAAACATAGAAATGTATCAATATCCCTCAAGACGTTAATTTATAAAAATCATGAAATGTATGTATCGATTATCATGAAACATTGAAATATGTAATACATAAATTATTTATTAGACGCATTCCTATAACGTACGATTATTTCTACGATTTTAGAGTACCTTGCCATAATAGTACAACATACCTTTATTAATTGACCCACATTTGACCCTGTTGAATACCTAGCTTCCGTCAAGAAATCCAAGGAAAATCAACTTTTCGAGGCACCGAACGCTCCCCTTTAATTCGAAAGCAGCCGAAGCGCGACGCGTAGAGAAATTCAGCGTATGATTTTCCCTCGACATTATGCGATAACGTCAGCGCGGATTAGGTCGCATCGATTAGGCAGCGAACAAACGTTTCGTATTAAATTAATTTCGTCGAGTTGCCCACGGCTCCGAGTGGAAACCGAGAATCCGTTTCGGCCTCTCCATGAAAAGAGTCCATCCATCTCGTATAACGATCCGGGTCTCGTATTCAATATTCTAATTAATGCACTCGCATTTGATTCGTGTAAATATCGTTCGCGTGTTTACTTAAACGCGAACGTGTGCTCGACGCGTGTGCACGTGGACATGACTATGGGAGCGAGCTGGTAGAAACGTCGCTCGTCTACGCCTCCCGATGCGGCAATCAGTATCGCTTGCGAATAAATATCATTACACGAATGTCAGCGAAACGCGGAAACGCTTCCATCGGTGGCGTCCGGTTTATCGAGTTTCAACGAACGTATTAATCACCCCGGCAAGATGATTGCCGCGCGAAAGACTCGCGTTCGACGCGCTACGTTAATTAAATTCGCTTTTTATCGACGGCGCCGATAAAACGGTTCGACGTCCATATACACGTTGGAATATATGTATATGTACTTCGCACGAGCGACGCGATCGCGAAGGCGTCTCGAGACAAAACCGATCGCGGGGAATTTTCTTATCGTTTCGCGACGATTGTTCTAATTAATCGAGAACAGCGACGGCACACCTGGCGGACAATTACAATTGACGATAATCGCTCTTGTCGCGGCACAATAGCGTAGATAGATGGATGTATCGACTTCGATTTACTGGAGACCGGATGCGACGTATGTATTGATTTATTGTTTTGTAAGATGGAGATTCTTGGAGATAGAAAATTTCTTGTTCTGTGTTTCGTAATATTTATGGATATTACGAGTTTAATTTTAATTCCATTTCATGATAAGATAAACGAGACATATTTGAAAAATAACGATTAATTTTGATTTTTAGAGTAGTTTATTTAACAGTAAGAATTATTAAATTATTCTTAGTGTTTCTAACGAGTCGATCAACTTTCTTGTGTTACATAATTTGTTCGATTCAAAAAAATAAGATTGAATTTAACCATTCTCTCTTCTTCTTTTAGACGGTGTCTCCAAATTTCATCTCGTCTTGGACTCCACGCAACTACACTAAACCCCTGATGGTCCCCTAATTGCTCTGTATATCTACGCTTTGATTATACGCTCTAATCACTCACGCAACACGTGTTTTCCAATGCAGAAGGGATTTCCCCGTGTACCGAGAGGCGTTTCACGTAACATTACGAAATCTAGCAATAATCTATCGTCAATACACTGCGAATGTCCGCAAATTCATATTTCTGTAGACGTAGATAACGAAATGTTAAAATAAAAGTATCTCTTATCTTCTAAACACTGTAACGAATATTTTAATATTGATATTTTATACATTTTTGATTTTCTGCGCTTCCTTATACATTTCTTTTCATATTTACAGTTGCTATAAACGCATAAATATTTGTTCATAGAACACGTTTCTCACTTCGCATACGACTAGACGCATTATTTACCGCTGCCAACGTGCGGAGGATTTTCGATACCATCGTATTTATTTAAGGATTCTTCTCGCGTTTTCTTAAAGTATGATATCTCGAAAATATTCCCTGCAAATTTCAAGTTAATCCGATGAATAGTTTCCGAGATATCTTAAAAATAAAGGCAATGACACTTGGTGCCGAAGGAAATACGAAACACGCTTCTTATTAAAAGATTTTCAAGATTTTCTCTTCTTACTTTATAATGTAAATTAACGATCGGTGGCCGCCGTTCTGTAAATTTTCATAAAGAAAAGAAGAAAAAGCAACGATTAATTACCAGATTAAATATTAAACAAACGGTTTTTGTTTGTCGAAGTAAATGAACGATCCACCGATCTGATATACCATGATATACCATTTCGTTAAGAAACATCAAAAACACGGCTCCTCGGTGTAAAAGGCCTTAAAGATGTCCACGCTTGCACCTTATATTGCTTTCAAACGTAAAGAACGAGGAAAAGCTACGGCGGAAGGTGGACAGCGTGGTTCGAGAAGTCCAACTTTAGATCTAGGTCGGTCCACGACGGAACATGAAGGATCACCCGACCTGGACGCCGGGTAAAGTCAAAAGGACTCGAAAGATAGATTGTGATGGCGGCCAGTTCCTGCGTTGGCGTTTCTATTTCGACCTTCCTAGGAAACGGACGTTTCATACGTTACGACTTGATAAGTTCCGAAGGATCGTTGGCACTTTAACATACAAGCAAAGGAACAGCTTACTACAGTAAAGGCTGGATGAATGCGAGAAAATCGGGACATAAACATTGCATCTATCCAGTCGAGGTTTCTATTCTGTGTTTATTTACATAGAAATGTAAATTTGACTCGAGTGTAGATTTGAATCGAGTGTAAAAAAGGATAGAGAGTGAAAGAGAAAGAGGTCCGAGGAAAAAAAGCTTAGGATCATATTAAAAGGTTAGGAAAATAAGGTTAGAAAAAAGATTAGGATCGTATTACACTACAAGGGGGACCTTTTTTACTATAAATGCAGTGTCCCAAAAATATTGAAGGTTCTTGAAAAGGGTGGTTCGGGAGGTGATTTGAAACAAGTTTTTCCTTAGCGAAAATATTGTCCGAGGCTTCGTTAAGGAGATATTAAAAGAAAAGTCCGAACAAGAGCGCGAGTATCCCGTGGCGCCCGTGGAGCGCCCGCAGTAGAATAGCCCCGCGCTAGACAGTCACAGTACCACAGGTTACGCGCTAACAGCCGCAGTAGAATAGGCCCGCCCTAGACAGCCACAGTAGCATAGACTCTGCGCTACAGTCATTAATATTAGGTCGTCCCATAAATTCATGCCACTTATTTTTCTGTTACTCGAATTAATATACGAAAGATACCCTTTAGCGTAATTTCTCTCGTTTTACAATATTTTCCCACGTTTCTGACGTCATTATACAGTCACTATAAAATTTCTGTAGTTTTTTCATTTAACTGTTTCCACTGCGAGTTTCAGTGTGTCTTGACAATGTCTTTGACAACATCGAGTGAGAATATGTCCCGCAGTTTTCGTGCGTTCTTGCAAGAATTGCTTAGCAGTCAAACGGTTAAATATTGCCTCATCCTACAGAACGAACTTATAGGACGACCTAATACTTAATCATTACGTCATCGTTACTCGAACCACCGCGAATCTAAACATTCTTCTCTCTAAATTTCCTCAATTATTTAAACATCGCCACGAACTGTCTGGAGAGCGACACCAAGGCGCCCCTTAACGTGAGTATCGTGATGAGGGCAGTGACGATTATGGAAACCACCCGGCTATGACGAGCCTTGTAGTATTCTTCCATCGTGGAATAATTAAGGCCGGTACATTGCGAGGCCATTCCAATCACGAAGCAGGCGATGCCCAAGAAGTTGTGGCCGAATTTGATGATCACCGGTCGGATCAATTTTCGTAGTTTCGCAGCGACGAGGACCGGATAACCGCAGATGGTCAGGAAGATCGTGATGGCCAACGAGGCGATACCCAGTTTCGCGTGAATGGTGCTGAAATGAATGTTCTTCTTCGCTCGATACATCACCACCACACCACCGATGATGCAGATCAGCCCTAGGACCTGGAGAATCCAGTGGATGTGGCTCTTGGCACGACGCGACAGAAAGTTCGTCAAGATGCTTTCACCAGCCAGGACGACAATGGCCTCTGACATCAGTAGAACGTACTGAAAGGGGTAAGATCGAGTCCGTCAGAAGGGGTTGGAAGTTCGGAGTCGTTTGGCCAAGTCGTTAGAACTTCTTTGGCCACCTCGGTTACCCTCTGTCTCCCTCCTAGGGGAGAGAGTCGCGCGGTCATTCTTGAAATTCGATCTTTCGCGAGGCGTTCAGACTGAATCTGCGTGTGTGTATAGGTGCGTCCAAGTGTGTAAGTGGAAAATAAATGGAGCAATTTGAATCGCGTGCAATCGTCTCGAACTGCGGAGGAGACTCTTGGGCAAGGTTGCGCGAACTTCCTCGCCCTGAGAGTATTCCCTTCACCTTTTTCTTCCGTTCCCGCGACCAATCGAGCTTCCTCAACGCTTTGACCACCCAAACTTTCTCATGCCACGGATTTCTTAACCTCTTTCAGACCTGAATTATAAGTCAACCCTGTTCGGGTTGACTTGGACTAAAATTGGCATGGAAGAAATCAAATTAATTCTTAGAAACAAAATATATGAACGACTTCGAGAAACATTAAAAGTGTGAAAGAATGAAATAATGAAATTTAGTAGAATGAAATAATTTCTACATATTTAAACTGCATTATTACTCATCAGAAGCGTACTAAATACGATGCAACATTTTCGGAGGCAGCGCAAAATTAAACATTTTTCATTCCGGGCTGGGTTAGCTTTTTAGTAGGTACGACAATATTGAACGCTGTATTTAATAATTTAATCAAATCCATCGAGAGTTGGTGAATAATAATACCGTTCAAATAAAAATTATTTCATACTTTTCCAAGGTTATATTCTTTTTCCAAGAATTATCTCATGCGTCCTCGATTGTGAACGCCAGGTCTGAAAGGGTTGAAGAAATTTTCATTTATTTAGCTTGCGGTTTATTGTTAGTATACATACCCCTAACGTGCAGAGGGTGACGTGAAGATCTATAACTTCGAAGGACTTTGCCGTGTAGGACAGAAGGAACGCCGTCATACATATAATGAGTATATGGTTAACGACATCGATTGCAGTAACGCATATACTATACACGCTTCGTTTCGACTGCGGCCTGTCGAAATCTATGGAAGTATTCGAGGCACTCGTCGACGGTTCGGACACCTTTATGTCATTCAACATATACGCCGGTAGATCCTTCATCTCTCTGATTCGCCTAAAATTTCAAAAATCAAAATGTTGTCCTAAACTTGCAGTATCGAACAGTATTTTCAATCTTTCGACTCTTAGATCCGAGTCGTAATTGTCTATATTTAATTTTTCAAGCAGAACCACCGGAGAAATTCGATTACTTTATGTAGATAGAATGGAGAATTCTAATGATCATATTTGGGTCACAAATATTTCTATTGTATAAATATTACTGTACTAATACCACACCAATGATTCATTACCAAAATAATGCTACCGAGATTCCAATAACGGAGTCCCCTGTTAGCAAAGTGTCGTTATCGTCCTGAACAAACAATATTCGATTCAAAGCACAGAAATATTAACCATAAAAAAATTCAAGAATCACTTTCTAAATCTCAAAATTGCCCGCCTGTTAACATTTCCCCTCCGTTTCCTTATTTTTCCACCATTCGGTTGCTGATAAATACGTTTACCAACGGTCGAAAGGACAGATGTCTCGACGGTAACCTTCTTAGGCTCGGTAAGGAGAATCCCAAACGAAACGCCTCGGCACTTACGTGCCGGCGTGATTACATGTAGGGGCGCGGTGGTACCGACCTCTTTAAAATCGGGCCACTGATCACAAGAAACGGAAACGAGTCCGTTGATCCCGCGGTCCGAAGGAAACGAAAATGTAAAAGGCGTGGAACCAAGGGGCGGACGGACTCGTCCCGAACTGTGTTCCGTGCGATGCGAACAAGCGTCCCGTGAAAATCGCAATTAAGAGGAGCGCCAACTTGCGAGTTGGAATGAATGCTAGTACTTAGGAAGCTCTTTTTCTCGCTGGTGAACGTTTGATAGAAAATATTGCCGTGTGAATTAAATGTACGGACTTAGGGCACGTATTTCTGCCAATTTTTGTAACAATATGACGATTCATTGAGACGTTGTAACTGCAGAATAAAAATTATGGTATAATTATGTTATACATTGTAAAATAGTATGTGTTATTTGTGTATGTTGCTTGAAATCTGTGCAGGGTCACGAGTGTCAATTTAAACAAAAATATATGGTCAATTACAGTCAAGTATTCTACTAATATAGGTATTCTAATGTATAATAATAATAATAATAATAGTAAATTATAGTATGGTTATATAGTACAAATTTACTTCGATGCCACTATTTATTATAATTATAAGAAAAGAATAATGGAGATAATAAAAGATAATAAAAGAAAAATGAAACAAGTACATAAAACACAAAAATATAGTCTATCTAGAGAGTAAAGATCTGTTTGCTTTATTTTACTCCCCGTTTCTTTCATTTTTGTTACAACGCAACCGGTAATAATTTATCATAATCGATCATAAGTGTTTGTTGAAATATATTTTGACGATTTCAAGTAAAATTTCAATGGAGGTCCACACAGAAAGCTGGGAAACGGTCAGACTTTGAAAGGTTCGTATATTTATGGGACAGAGTACATACGTCTCGCTGTCCGAAGTTGGATTTGTCTCGCAGGAAGAACGAAATTTTGAAAAAAGACACGTTTCGTTCCCCGTACATGATATTTTCGTTTCCTTCGGTACGTCGGAATCTGTTCGGTCAAATTGAAGACAGTAAATAAAATAAACAAGCTTCCTTCCGGCCGAAAGACGGAGGTCGCGCGACTGCCGCGCATCCACGTTTGCGTTTACTTGGATTTATTTTGTCCACAATATAGTTCGTTAGCGCGCTTCCTTCGGCCCTGCTTTCCTCGTCGTTGAAACGCGAGAGCGCGAGCCTGTGTCCGTGACGGCGCATCGCGAAATCGTTATTCAATAAATAATTGCAGTAATTATCGCGGCCGCTCGCGCTATCGGTTATTCCCGTTGAGACTTTACGAACTCCTTATCTCGTTCGACGGTGACAGAAAAGGGGAAATTACTTATGTAACGAATAAAAGATAAACAGCTTCTATATTCGTTGGAGGAAGCTAGTAATATGCCATCACCGAGTTGTTTTTAAATTAACTTTCAATAGTTTATTGTACGTTAATTAACTTCTGTTACACGGCTGTTGTAGTCTAGATCCCATTCATTCTATTATTTTTTTAGACTAATCAGTCTAACGAATAAACTTTTCATTGGGGAAAATGTATTTGATTAATTTGAAATTTGTTAAATTTATCTTTGGGCATGAAGAAACTTTTTTTAGTTTGTTTTTCAAGGGTTTTGATACTGGAAACAGAATATATAATAACAAAGAACAAATAATAATAACATTAGAATTATTGAGGGAAGTATTTGATTAGTATGAATCTATCAAGTGTAACATTTATTAAATTAAATGATATTACAACTTTATACAGATGTAACGTTTAATATATAAGATAAATAATAGTGTCACAACTATCAAGTCAAGAATTTAATTTCTACGAATCACAGGGTGTCCCAAAAATGTTGGAGGTCATTGAAAAGGGTGGTTCGTGGAGTGATTTGAAACAAATTTTTCCTTAGCGAAAATTGCGAGTACGCAAGTGGCTTGACGTGCATCGAAGGACGGAGACAGGTGTTCGAAGTGTTTTCCGCCTATTTCAATCATTCGACATGTTTCCTCATTCAAATTCACATATGTTCTAGGATTTTAGGTTTTCCTCGTACTTCCCAACAGGAGAAACTTACATAATAATTGCTGCTACGGAAACATCTGAGGTTTTACAATACAACAAAGCAACAGTCGAAAAATCGATTTAAAAAAAATACCACCTTATAGAGAATGACAAAACGAAACTTTTTTATACGTACAGTTTGTTCATACGACGTTTAGTTTCAGTGATAAAAATTGAAAACTTAGGAGGCCTTTTTCCTGAGATCTCGTAATGATCTGATCTTGTTGCTGTTGTCTTAAGGAAAATTGAATTTTAAAAAAAATATCGTCTTATAGAGAATGACAAAACGAAACTTTTCTATATTTACAGTTTGTTCATACGACGTTTACTTTCAGAGATAAAAATTGTAAACATAAAAGACCTTTTTCCTGAAATTCAATTCTTCCAACGAACTTCTAACTTTCCAATTTTTACTTTCGAAACGAAGCGTCCTATGGACAAACTGCAAATGTAAACAAGCTTCAGCCCGTCATCCCCTATATGCTGATATTTTTTAAACGTGCGTGTCTTTCACAGCGAAGGGTTTAAAGTACACCGTACCAGTGAAACCTGTCCCATTTAGCTTTACGGGACAAAACAAAAGAATGTCGAAGAAACACAACCGAAATTTCGCGAAATTCCAAAGGGTGGACTCGTTAACTCACCAAACAACTCGTTTCGCCCCGCGTAATCACGGTGTGCACTTTTTAAATTGCGTCCGGGGCTGTTTTCGCTTCCGCGGAGACAAAGTTGTTTCGCGGGGTTCTGCGGCGCGTGCACTGACGCCAATCCCGACGAGATTACTGTTCGTACTATTTGAGGAAATCACGAATCGACCGGCACAGTCACGCAATATTGGAAGAAATCTGTTTTTTTTTTTTCCTCCCGGTTGCATGAGCCGCGGCAGATAATTGAAACGCGTCGTGTCGGCGATCACGTGACCGCCCCGACGCGAGGCGCTCATTAATTAAAGACAGAGCCACGGATACGTGACACCGATAATCAGACGTCACTTTTACGGGCGCGTACGTGGACGGGCGGTGGGCCTGGTTCGATATTTAGCGATACCTCCGGAACGTCCATTTTATTTGTGGATAAACGTCGGATTGAAATGTGAGCTGCAAAAATGTATAACGGAAATGTAATCCATCTTCAACGGTGATATATAATCTTGTTTACCTTGTAATGGTTTAATAGGATTTCTTTATTTTTTTATATTCATTTCCACGGAAAAAAAATTAAAAATTAGTTCGAAGCTTAGTAGATACTTCAATAAACTTATTTCTAGATACTTCAGGAAAGGAAATTGAGCGAGCGTCGAGATTAATTTGAGCTGTAAATATACATGAAAATTACATTTTTCAAATGGTGATATATGATGTCAATTATTTTGAATTGGCTCAATGTACTTTCGTTTTATTTTTTGTATTCACTTGCATTGAAGAAATTTAAAATTAATTCGAAGTTTATTGGATATTTCAGTTAACGTTTCTCGAGGTACTTCGAGCATCAATTTGAGTGAACAACGTTTTAAAACTGTGAAGGAAGATTAGAATAAACGTTGGAATAAATTTATACTGAAAGATGATCAGAAAATACTCTTTTTCAATAGCGATAATATTTCTTATTATTTTACATTCAATTGCACTGAAGAATATCAAAATATTTTTTTCAACGAATCGCTCGTAAAAACACTCTTTAAAATTTCTAAGAAAAATTAAACGTATCGAGTGTATATTTCATAGATATATAAAAGCATATAAATGAATAATGAAATATCAATTTATAAAATGGAAGCTCTCTAACTTTTCATTTCAGAACGAACAATTCCAAGCTTCCATTGAAGATTATATTTTCTACAAAAATTAACATATTTCTACAAAACAAATTACCAAAAAAATATTATTCAAAGCATTGCACTTTCACACGAATGATTTGTGTTAGACGTTAAATGTTTACAGACACGATTGGTGGATATCCGCAGATTCGATTTAAAAAGCGTAGTTTTCACCAAAGATCTCACCGGAAATCAAATTACTTTTACACGCGCGTGATTTGTCCTCCGTAAGTTCGACTGCGTCAGGTGCGCAGTCAGAATCCCTCCCGCTGTTCGACATTTCCCATGCAAATCGGATGCAATTTCATCAAATCGGATTATTGAATTTAGATTCGATTGATCCGGAATAGAATTAAACGAAAAGTTCGTCGCGCTTTAATTGAGATTAATCCGTGTTCTTTCGTCGGAATCGCTCCGACGGAATATGATCGAAATCTTGAATAATGACGTTTGTTGTATTCGCCGGGCAATTTATTTAAATTTAATTTCCGCATTGATTTAATTATTTGTATCGCCGATTCGAACGTGAACGTATTTATTATTATATTTCTAATTAGGAGAAGACGGATTGAAAATACGAATTTGCTTCCTAATTTGAATGTTATTAAATTTAGTTTACTATGGAATTTAAACGAAAACGTTCAATTTTATGATTTATTGCACCAGCGAAAATTTCAAGCTTCGAATTAATTCGATGTATTAACCGACGGAGATGTATTTATTATTATATTTCTATTTAGAATTAGGTGAGAAACTTTGATCCTAATATAAATCCCATTTCGTTAGTTTTATTTTATTGAAGAATTTAAATGAAAAAGTTTAATGTTACTATCTATAAAATGTTCAAGTATGTGTTTAAAAGGTGGAAGTAACGTCTCTTCGAACACGAGAATGTTTAAAAAGAAAGATCACATATAAAATGTTAAAAATTCGATACTCCTTTCTGCATCCTGTTAAAATGTAACATTTTAAGTGCTCTAAAATATTCAATCGATGTAGGGAATATTAACGAGAGAATAACGATTTCTGCGGAGAATGCTTGAGCACACCTAACAGACGTGAAACTTAAAATGCATATTTCTCGAAACTGGTTCATTTAAACCGATGAATACGTTTTTCCAGAAATTACTCGTTCCATTGACTTCGAGTAATAAATGTAAATTCACGACATTTGAAATGTCTCTATCTTTCAGGAAATCATCGAAGAAAATGGCTTGCAATTTTATCTTACCCAATTTACATAGCCTTTCTCTTAATTATTTTTTATTGCAAGAATAGTTAATAGAGACTTCGATAGGACTTGTATATATGTATCATGCAAGCTTCGCGAGTTCTCTTTTCTCGTTTCTTACGTATTTTTACGCAGATGTAATATCGTTTTTCTTAAAAAAAAAAAAAAAACACACATGTCGAATTGAGTAACCTCCTCCTTTTCGAAGTCGGTTAATAATATATATAGTATTTTATTTTATTTTTATTATATTTTATTTTACTTTATATAGTAAATATTATTATTTATTTTCATCTTCCAAGATGTCAGTGGGAAGCGTTATCAATTATTTCTGAAAAACGACCGAATTTCGTTCGAGGCATCCCGGAGAACTGACTCGCGAGGTCAAGTGGGTTAAACGGATCAATATTTTTAAAAATCCGTACGTGCAACGATAGTGACATTTATCAAAGTCTTATCTCGGCAAACATTTAAAAACTCTTATCTGAAATGAGTTAAAATTCCTGTCCAGATATATTCCGAGTGACGAGTGAAAGATAAATACGTTATTACACTTTTCTTCCGTCATTTCCTTATTCATTAATTAAAAGCGATTATTTGAACTGTAGAATGAAATATTTCGCGTTGAACAAATGAAGATTCCACTGCAAATTTTCGTGGTCTGTAGAATTAGGGAAATCCACCCCAATGTAACGTAGCGAGAGGACACTTGGACTTTCTATGTATTTATACGATTTACTAAACTATATAACTGTAATAATAATATGTGTGAAATATTCATACTAGACAGTCTGCATCATTAAAAAGAGATCCCCAGTATTAATACTTTCTTTTAATCCTGATAGTAATTTTATTCAATAATGTTATTACAGTATAATTTTAAACCGAGAACACGTATTTAAAAGAACTCACTATTTGGAACAGAAGTGAATTGAAAAGAAACTTGTTGTTAACGTTTGTTACAAAATTTCGATGATGCCAGACAGCGTTGGTCGTTCAATAGAAATTTAATCTGCCTCTACAAAAATATTTTGTTCACGTTCGATGTGCGAGAGAACAGCGGGATTCAAAATCGAATCAGGGATTGCAATTTTTTTTTATCATTATTCTTTTTTTGTTCGCTGTTATTGGACTTTAATCTTCGAGCGATTAAAGCAGACTATAGTCGAGTATTTACATACATATTGCACTTTCCCGTCAATCTGAGATAAGCCGGGCATTCGAAGATACAATAAATATCGAAAATATCGAAATTGAACAATAAAAATGCTTTTTAAAGTGGACAGATTACGTACTGTATCTTCGGTGCATTATTCGGAGTCTGTAACCGTCAGCCTTACAAAAGAAACGTTTAATAACGAATAATAACAAATATCAAAATGGTTTTTTGTGATAAAATAGAACCTGTGTAATAAATCGAAATTATAATGTACCATCGTGCTGCGATACGTCTTTTCCATACGATATCCAATCGCAGCAACGAAAACATGAAAATACACTTCTCAAACAAATAACCATTATCAATTCCATGACAGAAGGTAATAACAATATTTCTACCTCTTAATTTCTTATACGTGAAACTTGACATCAACTACACGTCAATTTTCCAGATTGAAAATTACACGTTTCCATTTCGAAGATGTCGGAACACGCGCATCGTTTAAAATTTCCGCACGTCGGTAATTACGTTAAGGATTCTCGTCCTTGATTGATCATTACTATTTTATTTTGATTCAATCAGCTCGGAGCTCAACGCGTTCAACCTGCACGCGTGCTGTACACGCGTAATTTATTTAGTAGTAATTGAACTAATTACGAAACAGGATTATACCAACGGCAACTCGCTAAAAAAAAAAAAAATGAAAACAACGTATCTACGAAAATCCGGCTAACGAATATGAATTAATTCAACGCGGACAGCGTTATTTAGCTCCGCTCATATTCGCCGTGCCTGAAAAATATCTACACGCGTTGTTTGAAAACGCGCGACGCGTTAATTTGCGACGTACACGCGTGTTTTTGTTTCGTGCCGTATTTTCAATCGTACATCTATTTACTTATGTATTCGATTTTGTTATTCCGACTATCAGCCGGAGTAATCTCGCAACGACACCAATTTATGTATTCCTCTAGAATTTGTTAGAGTTAATTGGCAGACACTGTTGTTCGTACGAAACGTATCGATGTCGAGTTGTGTCGCACCGTGTTGTAATAAGAGGAATTGTTACAATTCAACCGTTACGTGAAAATCATTCAATGGTGATTACGTAAATGAAGCAATTATTTACACGTTTCTATGGCATCGTTGCATTCATTTATAATGGAGAATTTTGCGTACTGCTTTTCGCCTATATTTTAATGTGACCAAATGAAACGATTCTTGGAGCGCAGAATATATCTCTGACTTTACTCTATATAATTAAAATATTTGATGGGGTATGAATAATGTCTTTCGTGTTTTAAATGAAAACATTACTATAATTTATTTATTATTGAAAATTCTGCGTACTGCTTCTCGCTTATATTTCAATGAGGCAAAATAGAACGATTTTTGGAGCACAGAATATCTCCTATTTTTTTAATTAAAATATTTCGAGGTATAACTAACATCTTTAATTTGCTAAATAAAGATAATATCATAGTTTATAATGTAGAATTCTGCGTATTGCTTTTCACTCACATTTTAAAACGACATTCTTCTCGATTGAACGATGAATATAGCACGAACTGTCTCGAAAATGTTCATCGAAAAGTCAGTGGTAA